GTGTTTGCTGCTGCTGTGGTGGTTGCGGCTGCGGTAGTGCCTGCTGCTGCGCTGGCTGCTGCTGCGGTGGTCGCGGCTGCGGTGTTCGCTGCTGCTGTGGTGCTGCTCTCTGCTTCTTGCGCTCCTCTTCCTTGACCTCCTCATCTTCTTTCTTTGGACTGGATGCCAGTGGGATTTCAAGCGCCATCATTGCTCCCCCTGGCTGAGCATAAGCTTCTGCCTGTGCAGCTTGCGCCTGGGCCTCTTCATCCTTGATCAACCAAGCCAAGAGCTTTCTTTGCAACCTCTGAACAGAGGGATGCAAGAGCCTCGACGAGACCCAGCTAGACTACATTCACCAGCCTTGAGAGTCATGAAGCAGTGCCAAATTTGGCCAGCCCGCTGCCTGGTCTGGCTGGAGTTGTTTCAAAGAGAGACTCCATGGCCGCGAGGGCAAATCGTGGTAGCAACAGTCTTTTGCCACTACAGTGAAATCCCTTGAGCGCACAAAAGTTGTCGATTGGGCTGAAGTTGCGAGTTCCGATCGTGCACGTCTCTCAATACGGCATCCCCTGGGTTGCCGGCATCCACAATATGCGGACTGTTTCAACCACATCGCAATGAATTGCCAACACTGCTCGCTTTTTCCTTCCTGATGGCAAGATGATATCGTGGTTGAAAGTTGGTCAAAGAATGTCGAGGATATGTACCCACCAAGAAGGCATTGGTCGTGACGTGACAGGAATCTCCCACATGTGTGGTGCAAGAGCCTTTCGTGTGGCCCACGGGTAATAGGGGTTATTCGGCAGCATCGGACTATCCAGGAAGGGCCAACTCTCAACCAGAACGTCGGTCCGAGTGGCGCCCTCTTCCAACGTTGGACTCGCTCTCAATTTTTGGATTGTCTCCAGACGGAATTCGAACAACAATAAACGTCTGTTGCGCTCGAGCATATGAGCATTCTCGCGCTCGCACCTACAATGCGGGCATACGGTACACAACGATGTCATGTCAAAAGTGCCTTATCACTGATCGCGGGAAAGGCTGCCGACTCAACCAACGGGCGTGACCCGCACGCTCATTCCTCTCTTTTGGCCTCCGTGCTGCGCACCGAGAGTGGCATTGGCTTCGATTTGCGTCGCTCAGAAAGCTAGTGCAATGCTCCTCGAGTCGATCAAAATGCCGTCTTTGTATTAGAAGAAGTTTGATGTACTCGAGGCTCGACTGCAAATGCGAGGTCAACTAGCGTTGTTGCAGTCCTTTACAAATCAGGACCCCCAATTGCTGTCGTACGGAGCAAGTCTTTCTTTGTTCTGCATGCAGTGATACAGGACTCCGCGTGCGCATTTCACTCAGCTGACGCGCACCA